AGACTCAGAGACAGAGGGTCAGAGACACAGAGACAGAGACAGAGAGAGTCAGAGATGCAGAGAGAGACAGACTTAGAGACAGAGAGTCAGAGACACAGAGACAGAGAGATGCAGAGAGAGACAGACTTAGAGACAGAGTCAGAGATACAGAGAGAGACAGACTCAGAGACAGAGAAATGCAGAGAGAGACAGACTGAGAGATGCAGAGACTCAGAGACACAGAGACTCAGAGACGCAGAGAAAGAGAGACAGAGACACAAACACAAAGAGAAACAGAGACAGACACAGAGACAGACAAGGGTAGAGAAAGGGTGGAGGAGGGAGAGAGGGAGCAAGACAGTAACTCCCAGCAAGGAGAGAACTGGTGAACTGGAAAAAACCAACCAGAATGCAGCACAGACACGAACAGGAGGAGAGGGCTCAGCAGAGCACCACGCGGACAGTGAGAGGCCGGATGCCCGGGTCCTGGAGCCCAGAAGGTGGGAACAGGGCAGGGCCTTGGTGTCCACACAGCTGTTTCCCGAGGCTGCATAGCAAATCACACAGACCTGGAGCTTGAAATGACACAAACACGTCCACAGTGGTTCTGGAGGCCAGGGGTAGGTCGTGGCCTCCCTGGGCCAACATCAGAGGGTCCGCAGGTCTGGTTCCTCTGCAGGCTGTGGGGACATCACTTCCCGCCTCTTCCAGCTTCCAAAGGCCACCAGCTCCTTAGCTGTGGCCCCTCCTCCATCTTCACACCCAGCCCCAAGGTGTCTTCTCTCCTCTCCCAGCCTCTGTCCTCTCCGATAAGGACCCTTGTGAGACCCTGGGCCCACGCAGATGGCCAGGATGACCTCCCACCTCAAGACCCTCAGCTGGCCCCCTCGGCGCCGCCCTTCAACATGAGGTCACCACGCTGCAGCCCCCGAGTGAGGACGCTGACGGCTTCTGGGCCTCGTTTGGCCTGTCAGACATCATGGCTGTTTAGCGTCTTCCTGGAAGCCCTTACCAGCCCAGTAAGCCAGGACAAGAGCCAAATGGCTGAGGGTTAGGCAGGAGCCACCTAGACATCCTGACCCCACGACAGAGCCCTGCCCCTGCCCTGGTACCATGTTCCCAGCCCCTCCTGAGCCATGGCCTGGCCCAGCCTGGGGACAGCAGCAGGCATCACCCCAAAGGCTCAGGGTGTGCGTTCGCCCCCACACCCTGCCGTGAAGGAACACCTGAGGCTGGGAGATTCTTAAAGAAGTTTAATCGGCTCCTGGTTCTGCAGGCTTGACAGGAAGCGTGGTCTGGCATTGGCTCTGCTTCTGGGGAGGCACATGTAGGGGGGAGATCCCATAAACCCTGAGGCAGGAGCAAAAAGCCTCAGCCTATTTCCATATAAATAATGAAGAAAGTAACCAGAAATAAAACCTTACTAGTTATTAGCTATTCGTATGTGACCTTAGTTATTCATAGGTGATCTTAATTCTTTTACTAATGCCTCTCAGCCATAAGTGTGAACCTGGGGTGACATTGTGAAATGAATGACCCTGAGGCAAGATGCTCTGAGCCCTCTGTCACCCCCACATAAGGGCTGCTGCGGGGCGCCTCGGCTGTGGAAAGCACCCGCTGTTTAGCCAGCTAGGGGAGCAGACATCCAAGATGACCGAGACATCTCCTTCCTGGGGAGGTTAGGAGAAAACTCCCCTCCTCCAAGATCTTGTGGTCGGCCTGACGGCTGTCAGGAGGCCACAGACATCCGGGGCTTAACTGTCCCTATGTGGGGCTGTGCCTCAGCGGTCACATTCCACGTCCACTCTCATGTTCTGCTTCTGCAGATGGTTCCTTTTTTCTTAGAAGAGAAAATCAGTTATAGAAACATAAATCTCAATGTTTTAGTTCTTTCTCGGTAAGATGGAAAAGGTGCTGATGCATTATGCTCCTTACCTCACTTCGGGTGCCAGAAATTCCTGAGCCCCCACCTGAACGACATGTGATGTACTTGACCCTACCACTGCCACGTCCCATCCACCTGCCCCCAGTCTCCGACCACCGAGGCCACGCCCTGCCTACCCTGCCCCCGGATTTGCAGCTCAATAAAAGTGAGAGTGTCCCGGCACTCGGGGCCACTGCTGGTCTCGGAGATCCTGGCAGCAGTGGACCCCGGGGCCCAAACTCTCTTTTCTCTATTTCTGTGTCTTGTGTCTTTTATTTCTACAATTTCTCCTCACCAGCTGGGAGCGGCTCACAGAACCCTGTAGGGCTGGACCCTACAGCCCCAGGAAACTTACAATCCTGGTGGAAGAGAAGAGGGAGCAGGCGAGTCACAGGTCACACGGAGAGAGCGTGAACAAGGCAGGGAGGTCCCACACGCTTTAAACAACCAGGTCTCGGGAAACTGCGTTGTGAGGGCAGCACCGAGGGGACAGGGATAAACCCTTCATGAGAATCCACCCCGGTGATCTGGTCACCTCCCACCAGGCCCCACCTCCACAGCCAGGAATGACAATTCAATATCGGATTTGCAGGGGTCGGAGGGAAGCAGGGGACACGGATGGAAGTAAAAGGGGCTGAGAGAGCAGCTGGCGGGAGCGTGGAGGTGGGGCAGGGGCTGCCGGAGCCGGTCAGATGCCCAGGAGCTGCCCGTGGTTGGGGGATGCTTGGGTCTTGTCTCTCCAGAGGCATAGGCTACCCAGGATGCCAGAGGGACTCATGCAGCAGTGGGGAAGGACTGTCCCCAGGCACAGCAACCCCCACCCGCAGACACCAGAGGTCCTGAGCCCCAGCAGGTCCTGCCGCAGTTGGGGCCGGAGGGCAGGAGGAAGGATTCAAACTGGCCTGGACCAGGCAGCCTCCCCACATACCCTCTCCCAGTCCAAGGATCACACCTGGCAGAGCCTCCCAGGTCCTGAGCAGCTGCTCACACCTGGAGGAGCCAAGACCTCAGAGCCCTGGGCCCAACCTGAGGAGGTCACGGCTGCTGGGTGGGACCCGAGGCAGGGCCAGCTCCAGCCCCTTCTTCAGACCTGACCCAACCCCAGGCTCATACGGTTCTCCAGCCACAGGCAGGCCGGGTCACTGAGAGGCTCTGCCACGGTGACTGGAGCTCTGGGAAGCCGGGCCTCGAGCCTGAGTCCGTCTGACACAGGCTGCACATGGCCAGGCAGTAACAGCCAGGACCCCCCGGGGTCTGAGGCCCCTGTGGACGGAGGAGGGACGGACGGCAAAGGCGGGAAGGTGTGCTGCTTCCTGGGTTGCTGCAGCAAATCTCCCTGACCTTCAGCTGAAGCGACAAAGCAAGTCCTCTCGAGGCTCTGGAAGCCGAGTCTGACGCCAAGGTGGACAGGGCCACACCCTCTCTAAAGGCTCCAGCACCAGGTCCTCCCGGCCTCTTCCAGCTCCAGGTGGCCCCTGGCCTCCATGAGTGGTGGCAGCATCACTGCAGCTTCTGCCTCCGCCTTGATACCGAGTCGCCCTGTGTCTGTGGCTCACAAGGACAGTGGCCACTGCGTTACACCCGTGGCACCCACTGTGACTTCCTCATAGCTCCATCAAGTCTGCAAAGGCCCCATTTCCAAATAAAGTAACAGTCTGAGCTTCCAGGCAGACATGAATGTGGGGATGCCGCTCACCCCAGTGTAGAGGGGAACGATGAAGAATGGCTCGTGCAGAGCCGCTGTGGGCTCCACGGACTCCGGAACCCCAGAGAGCCCTGTGGTTGCTTTAGTTCAAATCTGAAGGCAGAAGAGTAGACTGTGATAACCCTGCTAGCCATGAGCCAGGACACACATATGACAGAATGCACCCAGCACGTGATCCACACACATGCCCCAGATTCCCACAGGACACACACATGACAGAATGCACTCAGCACGTGATCCACATGCACCCCAGATTCCCATAGGATACACACATGACAGAATGCACCCAGCACGTGATCCACACACATGCCCCACATTCCCATAGGACACACACATGACAGAATGCACCCAGCACGTGATCC